TTCTACTGAACCACTTCCCAAACAATTCACACAATCCTTATGAAATCTTTGTTCATGTCATCTCCTCAGCCTGAAACACTATTCTTATTATTTTGCTTGTCAAAATCTTACTCAGTCTTTAAGCCTTAATTCAAATTCTCCCTCCTTCATGAAAGTCTTTTCTAGACTGCCACCCCCTGGTCTGTGGTCCCTATACCTCTCTCAAAACACATGCTCCTCGTCTTCATATTATGGTCACTTATGTATTAACTCCTATTCCTTCAAGAAGGAAAGTTTTGTTTTATTCTGTTGCACAGAATGAGGTCCAAATTCCTTAGAACGACATACAAGGCTCTTGGGACTTGGTGACTGCTTCCTTTTGTGTCTTATGTCTTGATGCTGTGGACCTGATACCAGAGCTATAATATAAACCAATTACTAGGAATTCTTAAGCCCCTCAGATCCAGATCCCTCAATTCCATGGCCTGAAAAGAAGGAAACTTCTCCTTAGGACTCCTGTGAATTCCTGGGACCTTGCACTCCTGTACCACCTGCAATCCTGGCTACCACACGAGTAACTTTCCTCTGTGCTTCACCTGATTACAATTTATTCCCTTTGCATACTTTGGGAAAATAAACCAAAGCTTTTCCTGCAAAACATTCATGAGTTTGGCTTACTTTTGAAGGAGATTAAGGAGGATTTACATTTTCATGGTTACAACTTCCCTGAAAAGTAAGCATCCACCTGCCCTTTGCCCCATCGAGGCCCAGTCACTCCCCTTTGTTGATTCCTCATTCTTCCTTATTTTTGTCTTATTTCCCCACTCTTCTCTTGCCATCCCTCCTAGAAGTAAAAGTTTGGCATCAGCCAACCCCTAGGACTTCCATCCCAAGCACTTAAAAAATGTTTCAGGGAACACCTAATTTGGAGCATTTATGAACCTCACGGTGCCATGTAAACATTTTACCTAGCTGGCTCTGATGTTCTTTAGGTCATTTATCTGAAAAGCTTCTGAGTCAAAAAGCCATTAAAAATGAATCCTGTTGACTGGAATTGTGTATTCCACTTGTACTGAGAAGCTGTCATCCCATTTGAGCACAAGGCAATTTTCAGTGCAGGCCTTGTCTCCTCCAGCTGGCTCAGATTTGTTGCTGATCAGTTACAAAATTGTGTTTACTTACAGCAGCAAGACCTTAGATAACTTGTCCAGCACATTAGATGATGGCATCTCTTGCTCCTTGTCTTGCTAAGAGATTGGCCATCTGGGTCTGAGAAATTTCTGTGTTCATCCTGGACTGAAGTATGCTGTAGGAATATTTATTTCTAATCTGTATTTAGCTATATGGTTATTACATCAATCAATTTCAGTTCTTACAAACATCTTTATTGAAAAATGATTTAAGTACTGTAAAACTCCGTGATTCAAAGTGTATGATTTAGTGGTTTTTAATATATTGATGGAGTTATGCAACTATCACCACAATCTAATTCCAGAACATTTTCATCACCTCAAAAAGAAACCCTTAAGCAGTGTCTCCCTGGCTTTGACTCACTCTCCAGCCCACCCTAGGCAACCACTTTCTGGTTCCATATATTTGCCTATTCTGGACTTCTAAGTCAGTGGAATCATACAATATATGGCTGTTAGGGTTTGGTTCTTCTACTCAGCATAATGTTTTAAATGTTTATCTATATGGTAGTATGCATCATACTTTTTATTGCTAAATAATATTCCATTATAAGGATATAACACATTTTATTTATCCTTTTACCAGATGATGGCCATTTGGCCATTTGGCTTGTTTCACTGTTTTTCTTTTTCTTTTCTTTTCTTTTTTTTTTTTTTTACAAATAGTTTATTGTCAAATTAGTTTCCACATAACACCCAGTGCTCATCCCCACAAGAGCCCTCCTCCATGCCCATCCCCCCTCCCCCCCCACATCCATCCATGAGAGACTCTTGAATGCTGACAAAAACTGAGGACTGATGGATATTTCACTGTTTTTCTATTATTAATAATGCTGCTAAGGAACATTTGAGTCCAGTTTTTTGTGATAACATATATTTTCATTTCTCTTGGGTATATACTTAGGAGTGGAAGAATTGCTGGGTCATATGGTAACTTTATAGTTAATATTTTGAAGAAATGTCAGACTATTTTCCAGAGTGACTGGACCATCTTACATTCCCATCAGCAGGGAATAAAGATTTTAATTTCTTCACATTCTCACAAACACTTTTTATTATCTGCCTTTTTAAGTATAGCCATCATTGTAGGTAAGTAGTGATATCTATCTCATTGTGGTTTTGATACGCATTCACCTAACGGCTAATTATCTTAATTAAATTTTGAGGCCATATATTTTAATGAACAATGATAGTGACAAAATGTAGCATTCTATTTTAATATTAATTAACACAAGTAATTTTAAATTTTACCACTTTAAAGTGGTAAAGAGAATATAGGCTGTCAAATGTCATACTTTGCAGGTGTACTTCATTTCTAGTTCACCTTAAAAAATTCTGACTCCACTACATACAGAAGTGAAAACTCCAGAGATAGTTTCATAGGACAAATTCCCCGTAGGAGTAACACATACTTAGCTATTATCCAGTACAGGGCACTGAGACAAACCTTGCATCTCTTACTATTTTTGTTTAAACAATTCGGTTTCTGTTGGGGGAATATCTAAGCTCCAGTTCTAACATGAGTAAAAAAATAGCATCCACATCTGGAACCGAGACCTCATGTGCTGGCTCCACAGGGTTTAATAATTTTTGTTTTGAAATAAGGAGGCAGAAAACATAATGTGTTCCTAACAAAAGAACCCACATTTGCAATAACATTTTAAAAATGGAGTGATTTTAGTTTTGGATGATATACAAAACCATTAAATGAAATTAGAAATTGCAGTTTAAACAGTGGCATCAATTAAGAGGATTTTCAAGCACTTCTTTCCTTGACCTAGATTTTTTTTTTAAACAAAAGGGCCTAATATGTACATCATTGAAAAAACTGGATATAATATTTGCATAACCCATTTTAAATTATGGTCCAAGTGCTGTATTTAAACTCAATAAAATGTAAAACAATCCTGTAAATAAAATTTAAAAAGGACAAATCCATATATCATTTCTGGTATTTTTCCTGCCAGTCAGCTCTGGGGCCACAGAATGAGAGGAAACTGCTATTTTCCACCTTGTTATAGGAAGCATAATAAAACAGGAGAATGGCATCTAAAAGGCACATTAATCAGTTTCCCCAGTTTAATGCAGAAAGTACTGAAAAATGAAACAGCAGAACCACACATTAAAAGATTTAAAAGCTAAGAAGTACAATCAATGTTTTCTAAATAAAAAGAAACAAAGCTTTTAAATCTTTTTAAAAATTTTTATTTATTTATTGAGAGAGAGATAAAGAGCACCTGAGCGTGGGAGGGGCAGAGAGAGAGAATCTCAAATAGGTTCTTTGCTGTCAGCACAGAGCCTGATGTAGGGCTCGAACTCACAAACTGTGAAATTATGGCCTGAGACTAAGTCAAGAGCCGGACACTTAACCAACTGACTGGGCCACCCAAGCACTCCAAGAAACAGAGCTTTTAAACTGAAAAAGAGAGCCATTGATGAATGATTGTCTGTCTGTAGGGCTTTATATAAAGATCTGTTCCCTCTCCAAGCAATTAAACACAGTAAAATGAGCTAAAGATTTCAGATTTTTAGGCTGGGCACAAATAAGAATTTACTGACAAATAGATTAATTAGTCACATGAACTGTCTTCAAAATAATTGATTTAGATAATATTTACCTAAACACAGGTAACAAGGAAATTTCTGGCTCTGGGATTCTGTCACACTTTTTAAATTTCCTCTTCCTATGCTAGGTCCTGGGGCAGGAGGAGGAGAAATGAAAGAGTGGCCAATGACCTCTTTTAATTTTTTAATTTAATTTAAATTTTTATTATTAAAACAAATTTTAAATCCAATATAGTGAGCATGCAGTGTCATATTAGTTTGGTGTACAATACAGTGATTCAACAATTCCATACATTGCTCAGTGCCCATCAGAAGTGTACCCTCCCTCCCCTTCCCCTACTTTACCCATCCCCCCACCCACTTCCCCTCTGGTAATCTTCAGTTTGTTTCCTATGGGTAAGAGTCTGTTTCTTTGCCTCTCTCTCTCTCTTTTCCTTTGCTCATTTGTTTTGTTTCTTAAATTGTACACATGAGTGATGTCATACAGTATTTGTCTTTCTCTGAATTAGTTCACTTAGCCTCATACTCTATAGATCCATCCATTTTGTTGCAAATGACAAGATTTCAATCTTTTTTATGGCTGAATAATATTCCATTGATATGGGTCAAACTGTAACTTTACATATACACAATGCAATTATATTGCTACCAAGAGTGTACGAGGGTTCCTTTTTCTCCATATCCTCACGTATTTCTTAGGTTTTTGATTTTAGTCATTTTGACAGGTGTGAGGTGATATCTCATTGTAGTTTGGATCTGTATTTCTCTGATGATGAATTATGATGCACATCTTTTCATATGTCTGTTGTCCATCTGGATATCTTCTTTGGAGAAATGTTTATTCATGTCTTCTCATTTTTTAATTGGATTATTTGTTTTTTAAGTGTTAAGTTCTTTATTTATTTTGGATACTTAACCCTTTATCAGATATATCATTTGCAAATATCTTCCCCCATTCAGTAGGCTGCCTTTTAGTTTTGTTGATTATTTGCTGTGTAGAAGTTTTTTATTTTGATGTAATTCCAATAGCTTATTTTTGCTCTTATTTGCCTTGTCTCGGGAGGATTCTACTGTGCTTTTTACAAAACTTGAAATTTTTATTTAAAATGTTGCCTAACTGAAGTAATTTTACAATTTAAGTGTAAAGAATTATAAGACAGAAGCTAAATTATTTCAGTTTGCATAAAAGGTTGTTATTTTACTAGACATATAATGTTTGTACTAAATTATAATCACAAAATGATCTTTATATTATTTATATTTTAGGGTTTGATGATACTTTCCAGACATAAAAAATTAAAGGAACTTTCTCTATCTGAGTGTTATAAAATCACCGATGTTGGAATTCAGGTAAAATAATTAAGGTCTTCTGTTAAAGAATTGTGGTTAAAAATTAAACACAAACTAAATAAAGTTTATAGGTCAGAGTGGGAAAAAAAGTGGATTATGAATAGAACAATTCATATGTGATCCTGATTGAGACAAGATAAACTGAACTTTAGACATGTCTCCATAGCCTAAGGTGACTAAGAGAATTTGTTTTCTCATTTTTCCTTTCTGCTCTCTCTCTTCCCAGTGTTAGACTCATGGGATAAATAAAGACTAACAACTTCCATATAGGATAAGGTTTTAACAAAAGGGGTTATAAAACATTTAGATGCCTGTAATCTACTAAGAGAAAAAGCCAAAATGTTCTTCTAAGGTTAAACAGTGATTTACTCCACTACAGTTCATTTAAAAGTTAAACATATATTTACATAAAACTTTACCCATGAATACGATATAGTCAGGCTTTCAAAAGGTCTTTGACAAGGTGACAGAACAAAGGTTATTAAAATAAAACAGTTAAATATTAACATTTCTAATATTGGGCTATGTTTCTTATATGGTGATCAATTACATTGGACCACTAACCATAAATCATTCAGAAGTACTGAAACCTAGTATAGTGATGACATGGCCTCTTGATATACACCAATTACTAACTAATTTTTAAAATATTCCATGGGATGAGAAAGTGTTGTTCAAAACGAGACAAGGGGAGCCTGGGTGGCTTAGTCAGTTAAGCATCCAACTTTTGGTTTTGGCTCAGGTCATGATTAGTGGTTCATGAGATGGAGCCCTGCATCCAGCTCTGTGCTGACAGTGCAGGGTCTGCTTGAGATTCTGTCTCCCTCTCCCTCTACCCCTCTCCTGCTTGTGCTTTCTCTCTCTCTCAAAAATAAATAAATAAATAAATAAACATTAAAACAAACAAAACAAAATATGAGTATTAGGAAGTATTAGGAAGCCAGAGCTTTTTGCCGTTTCTCTTTGACTCTATGGGTTCCAGGCATTTTTATTTTCAGTCCTTGAATCTGAAAACTACACTATTTTTAGACACTCTTATATTTTAGGTAAAAGCCTTTTTACACATGCTAACTACGTGATCATTCAGATGAGTGAAAAAATGTAATTAAAAAATTGGCATGCATTTTTTCAGTGATCTAGAAGAAAAAATAAAAAGAGGAATACAGGAGCATGGAAAAACAGAATTATTTAATTATTAGTTACCTAAGATCAGCTATTCTATTCAAGTTCACAAAAAAATTTTTTTTCTCTTTCTCATCATCTCATTTTCTCTTTCCTGCTTTTAGTGTGTGTGTGTACGTGGTGGCTGTTAATCAGTTTACCTTTCTAAGGTTCCCAGGTTCATACTTCTGGGCATATGACAATCTTTCTTTTCTGGGCCTCCTCCAGCCCAATTATTAAGTCCCCAAAGAGAGGAGATAAAGAAGGTGAGAAGAGAAAATGACACGTAAACCAATTTCACAACTTCTTATTTGGATTTATAAAAGAGAGGGGAAGGGGGTAAAATAAGGTGATTATATTGAGATAGTTAGAGTATCCACAATTTATCTGGAATTTTCTTTCTTGTTACTTAGTAAGAAAAGGTAACTAGAGGAGAGTCTCTTTTTAGCACAAGATATTGAAACTTTCATTGAACATGATGATTTAATGAAAAAATGAGAGAAACATTTTTACCCTGGTTAGGTTTTGCAAGAGTCATGAACATAATAAGAATAAAAAATTACCTCATTTTAGTGTTTTACTGGAAACCGCAGCACATGCAGATTAAGTGTCTGGAGTCTCAGATGTAGTGACTTAGGATCTGGTTTTAATTACTTCTTCCAGCTTCAGTCTTTTTTCTGAGAACATCAGACATTCAGTGATCATGTTAGACTAAAATTATTTGGTGCTCTTGAAAGGCACACGCGTTTGGGGAAAGATGTTTGATGTGTCATAACTGAGCATTTCTCAGGAAAACTTCTCCTTGAACATTTTATGAATTTAATTAAATAACAAACTGTCAAGTTTGGCAAAAGAATTGGTTTAATTGGGATGTTGCAATATAGATAAAATGGAAGTTCTGTCTTGTTACTTGGATAAAACCAATGGAACAAATGCAATTATTTACTCTGTTGCTTTTATTTTTCTCTAGTTGCTTTTTATACTCCCTTTATCTAGTTCATATTTCTCATTCCATTTTTTTGGAATGAAGTATGTTGTAAATGCATTTTTGTAATAGTCATATATATGAATGTACATATTTTTCTTTATGTAGGTCATTTGCAGCTAGACAAAATTTTTTTTTTATTATTTCAGTGTTTGTCAGTTGAGGTAGCTGGTTAAGAAAAGGCATTGGAGAGGAAAAAATCAAGGTTAGTTATGACTTACCAAAAGGACTTACATGTGCATATTCAGAGAAAAATATGTGTATATATGTGCTTACATGTATATATGTATGTAAATGTATACCTATGTATAGTATATATGTGCAAATTAAATGTGTATAAGTTTTATCATATTTTAGACTGCATGTTTACATGTAAATACATATATATCTGCAAGTCTGGTATATGTGTATAAATTAAATATGTGTACACATTTTAGTGTATGTAGATTACACACATATGTCAACATGCCTATATATTTATTTTACCCAAATTGTGTATAGAGATGCTGTAAGAGTATATATTTCTAGGCTAGGACCTGATAGATGGTGATCAATATTCAAAGCAAATCATAAAAATTAGTCTGTTAAATAATTATCTTTTTGTTTATATTTTAATTTTAAAAATTAAATATCCATGTAAATGAAAAGGATCTTTCCTTACAATAGTGTAGAGACTAGCTCTCTGACATCAAAGGCAATGGATATAATATTGGGAATGTGGGACTAGCTAACCAAAGTCCTAATTTTTATCCTGATTCTGCCTCTTACATAGCTACATAATTCACTTATTCCACAATAATTCATTGCTCCCGTAGTGGCTATAATTATGAGGCAGACAGGAACTAGCATGTAGAACAGGAGTCTATCTTTTCTTGTGATCTTTCTGTAACATTTTCCTGTAAGGGCCAGATAGTTTACATTTTAGGCTTTGTAGATTATACAGTTTGTAGTCACAACTGCTCAACTTTGTTACTGTAGAGTAAAAAACAGCCATAGACAACACATAAATAAGACAGTGACTCTGTTCTAATAAAACTTTATGGACAAACTTGAATTTCATGTAATTTTCACATGGCATGAGATATTCTTCTTTTTATTTTTTTCAACCATTTAAAAATGTAAAAACCATTCTTGGAGTGAAGGCCATATAAAAACAGTGACAGATGAGATTTGGCCTGCAAGTAAAAATTTGGTAGTTTGCCAACATCTGCTCTTGAGTCAGACAGAACTTTACAGTTTTAGTCTGTCAAGATGTGTGAGTTTGGGCAAGTTAGTTTCCTCCTCTGTGTCTTGGATTCTTCACTTGAAAAAACAGGTGTAATAATAAAACAGTCTCCTTGTTGTGAGTATTAAGTGATATAAAACATCTGAATACTTAGCATGGTTCCTGACACAGAGCACATGATGAATATTGCCTATCACTATGATTATTTTTTTAACAAAGAAGAAACTAATATATACTAGCAAACAAAAAACATATTCGCATAATAGTTTGATAATTTGTTTACCTTAGTTAACCACAGTCAGAAAGCAGGTAATCTCAGCAGCCAAACTGCTCCAATGCTAAGGAGATAGTTTAGAATATGCTCTTGGAAGAAATAGTTTATTAATTTTTACTTCTATAAGTGAGTCATGTATGTTTCAGAGGCACTTAAATATAAATGACTAAATAAATTTACATATGTAAAAGCATTAAAAAAATCTAGAACACTACATAAATATAATTGCTATTTTCTTGAAAATAGAATAAGAAAACAATCCAGTTAAAAAGAAACTGAATTGTTTTTCACTGGGATTATGATATTAAACACATTTTTCAACATGCATAAATTTTCTCTTGAGACTTCTTTGACCCATGTATATTTAGAAATGTGTTGTTCAAATTTTAAATATTTCAGGATTTTCTAGCTGTCTGTGTGATTTCTAATTTGCTTATTTTTAAAATTTTTGTTTATTTATTTTGTGTGTGTGTGATTGCTAGTTTAATTCCATTGTAACCTGAGAGCATATCCTGTATGATTTCTAATCTTTTTTTTCTTAAGGCATTATTATACAGGAACGCTATTTGTGTGGTGGTTAGGTGTATTTTGGGGGGACTCATTCTATATTTATATGATTAAGTTTCAGTCTTTAAATGGGCCTGTGCCCCATGACTGTGATCTTTACAAGTGCTTCCAACTCCTCTCCCTGCCTCTGCTACACTGAGGTAAAACAATATTGTTAGAGGGGCTGAAGTTGGGTATTTCCCTGACCCCTTGTTGGACTGGCTCTCATAATACCTGTGTTAGTTAGGTTCTGGAGAAACAGTTTCCCTTGAGGTCAGGCTGTTAATGAGAACAGATGCTCTGGACATATTTTACAATGATTACTTTTCCTCTCCCCTTGTAGGAAGCGTGAGGGCATTTTTTCTCTGATCTTCACCCTGAGAACTTGGTGGGTCTCCTGGATAAAACTCATGAAAGCATGGGGGCTCAGTTAAGGCTAGGCCCCAAAACTTTTCTCTCAAACCAATCTCTCAGTCTCTGGCAGTTAGTCAATAATCCTTTAAATGTTTCAGCTGATACTGGCTCCAGCCACTGGCTTCTGCTCTTAGTAAGCCCTGATTCTCTGTATTCACCTGTCTCTCCAGTTTTCAGAGTGTGGTTTGCTTTGTGATCTCAATTATCTGACAGATCTAAGAAGAGTTGTTGATTTTCAGTTCACTCACCTTTTTTCTTGTTTTGAGGAGAGAAGCGATAAGTTCCAAACTCTCGTGGCAGACTGAAAACTGGAAATCTGGAACATTGCTTCTGGATTCATGGATGTTGGCTGAATCAACAACAACCAAAAAGGATGATGATACATTAGGCTTGAA